TCGAAGGTGCCTATGTTGATGAAGACTTCTCCATGCCAGCGAAATCCGATGCCGAGAAACGAGCGGACGAAAAGGCGGAAGCTCGAGCTACTATTATTGGCGGCTATCGTTATGGCATCATACACATTGACGGCATTCACAACCTTTGGGCGGATATGACGAGCGGTTGGGGTCAGCCGCGCCAAGTCTGGCAACCAAGCGGGTCAAAATACGTCGGGGCCATGGCTGGTCAAAGAAAGTATAAACACGCATAGTCCCTCCAACGGTACAACCCAAACTGCGGTCGCTGGACAAGGACTTTGTGTGGTCATGTGTGGCGGACATCCGTCACGTTTAAGACCAGCATGGCAAGGACAAACCAAAGCGAACTACAGGGGTGGACTCCCTGTGGCAAGTGGACGAGCGGCTACGGATACCGAGTGCGGCGAATGACCTGATCCAACGGATCATGTTTGTTGCCCACTGCGGCAGCGCCGAACATCGTGGACATGCAGCACTGGTGGCTACTATCCGCCGCCTGTTCTATGTCGACCACTTGGGCGACAGGGCCAGTGAATTCCTCCGTGGCTGCTTGTTGTGCCCACTTGTTGTGCCCTCATGTAAGAGGGGGAAAGGTGGTCTATCGACCGTATGCTCCGAGATGGCACGCGAAAGAGCGCAACGAAGGAATCCACTTCGACTACCACTACATGGGCGAAGCGTTCAGCGGGAGCTAAGTACGTGCTGGTACTCGAAGACGATCTTACCCACTACTACGAGCTCATTGCTGCGATGGTCCCATGAGGCAAGTATGTGTGGATGCCCTGGTGGACTGGACGAAGCGGTTCGGAATGCCACGAGTCTGGGTCAGCGATCAAGGTACCCATTTCAAAAACGTGGCCATGAAGGCGTTAGCGCACAAGTTCAAGGTCCATCATGACCTGACCTTGGCCTACTGCCCCTGGCGCAATGGAACGGTTGAGCGGACGAACCGCGACATCCTCCAAGTGATGCGGGTCATGCTGCGAGAGTACCAGCTAGCCGAACAAGAGTGGGACTACCTATTGCCGGTGGTCCAAGCCAACCTCAACCAAACACCGGCCGCATCATTGGCGAGCAAGTCGCCGATGGAGTTGTTCACGGCATTAAACCCGGCGACTCCCCTGGATGTCGTCGTGGTGGGCATGAACAAGGAACTACGAGAGAGCGACTGGACGGTCAAGGTCATCCCCAAAAACTTGGACAAGCTGCGTGCTAGCCTGCAAGTCATGCATAAAGAAGTCTTTGACAAGAATGCGATGCGCGCGGCGAAGGCAACGAAGGCGACCGAGAAATACAAACAGTGCAATGTCAGCGAAGGCGACTATGTGCTCTGGTCCCGCGTCGACGAACGCTATCACCCCAAGCTGCTCGTAACCTGGATGGGCCCCTACCGAGTCAAGGAAGTGGGCGAATTTTCCGTCGTTTTGGATCACTTGGTGACCCATGAACTACGAGAAGCACACGCATCAAGAGTCAAGCTCTACGCCGAAGATAGCTTTGAAGTGACCGAAGAGATCCTCGAACACGTTTCCGAGCAAGAGATCATGCTGAAGGTCAAGTCCATCGCGGGGCACAAGTTTGTCCCGGATGTGAAAGTGCTTTGGGAAGGTTTTGAAGATATCGAGTCCTCATGGGAACCGCTGCAGAAGCTCATGCATGAATGCCCGGCCGTGGTGAAGAACTACGTTGAAGGCGTGAAGACAGCGAGCGACGGCGATGCGTTGTGAAAGGCGATGAAGCGAGCGAGGACGAAGAATCAGCAAGGCCCAAGTGTGTCCTGCGGGACATGGCTTGAGGTGTGTGTTGTGGTGGGCGACTTAATCCAAGTCCCGCCATGACACAGGTGGTCCTCAACCGAGGCCACCGGGTGCCGACCCTTGGCGAACCGACACGAAAAGGCATAGTATTACTAGTAGTAGTACTAGTAGTACTAGGACGTAGAAAACAGAAACCTGTCCCAGCCAACTGCCGGAGTCTCACTCTTGGTTCTGCAACGCCGTGGTAACATCAAGTCAATCAAGTGTGCGGTTTGCAGGGAGTCGGCACTCCCCCATTTGGTTGTTTGTGTTGGCACTGGCGTGGGAAACAACACAGGTAGATGGATATTGGAGGGGGTAGTGAATAGATACTAGTATTACGGAGTATATGCTTAGGTACAACTTGCAAGTAGAAAGCTATACTGTTAAAACCGTGCATTCATGTTGCTATTGACTTCGTGTTTACACTGACAGCAGCTGAGCACCCTAGAGCTCGCATAGGCGGTGGAATTTCACTCTAGGGAAATTTGGCCACTCAATGTGTGGAGCTGTATATCTTGAGCTCAAATACGAATTTGAATGGGGAAACTTGTGTCACGTTAAATGAAAGA